GAATGCATTAAATCACGTGATGAGCTGTACGTAGATAGGAAGAGAAGACTGATTCAAAAACAAATCCAACATGTCTGACATTGTGAAAGATATTAACTATTTTTCCAATGTTGTGCTGCCTGCCCTATACACATAGTGCCAAATAGCAGTTGAGGCAGAAATAAATCACTTTGTGGTTATTAGTTGCAGTTATTGGTTAATGCAGCTTAGCGAGGAAAAGGGAGCACTAGGTTTGATGCAGGGAATCTCTAATGCAATCATTGTCATGTGAGAATGAGATGGCACAGGGATCTTAATCATGCACACAAAATGATTTATTGTGCAGCCCTATTTTTATTCATCATGCAATTCTGCTAGGGAATCATCTGATTGGTTCTAGATTCACTCTGTAACTTGACATTGACTCCAAACAAACAGCTAGAGTCATAAGGAGCTACCTTCAGAGACAGGACAAATAAGGAGTCATGTTTGCTATTTCAAAGTGAAGCTGAATGAATCCATTGTGAAAGCATAGATCAATTTTACTGCCTGCTTTCTGCATCTTTTTGCCTCATGTAACTTGCATGTTTGTACAGTGTGTCTGCTGACCGTCGCAACATTGCAGAGGAAGGCCCTGACGCTGTCTGTCATCTCTGGACCAGCTGCAGATCCATCAACTGCAAAAGGGGGGGGGGCTGGTGACCTGGTGCTCAGCTCTCATGGCAGGGGGGGGGCCACCCCGTAACCCAGAGCCAAAATCTCATGGCAGGGAGGGGCTCACCCAGTAACCTGCAGCAACACAAAATCAAGGAAACAAGTAGGGACAAGAGAAACTGGTGCAGCCTTCCCCCGCCCCGATGTTTTAAGCTTCTGTCTGACTTTAAATGAAGAGATATTGGCATTTCTAAATTTGGCAGTTTTTCATGTAAATGCAGAAAAAATGTTATATTACTATTATTTTATTATAAGCTGGGCTGACAAAGCTAACGTGATAACATGTAAACGCAAATTCCTTTTAACACTACAAATCTTTTGACATGCAATTCTGTGATTATGACCCTTGGCCTGCCCTGTAGTTTGGGAAATTGGGAACCAATACAGCAGCAGAAATGGCTAAAGAAAGCGTCTTTTGTATGGCAGCTTCAGCTTCCAAGCCCTGCCAGATGGTTCTCTTGACAAGACCAAAGTTATTTGCATTTACTGTCGATGTGACCTGAGTTACCACCAGAGTACATCAAATCTCAAATACCTCTTGCTGGCCCAGCACACAGCTAATGCAGACAGTCGTCCTCCCCCTCACCAAAGGCAAACCATACTGGATTGCAACGGAGATGCCTGAACAACTCTACAAGCAGCAACAGCGATAGCTAAATGGGTGGCTACAGCTTGTGGTGAATGAGGGTCCGCTTTAAAGAATTTGCATCACATCCAAAGACTGCAGGTATGAATTGGCTTTGAATGCCACCACCGTAACCAAGATACAGAACTTGTATGAAGATGAGAAAGCTAAAGTGGAGGAGGCGTCGGGACAGACAAACATGACTGGCTCACCAGGGACTACTGGACCTCTCTCAGTAATCACATGTTCCCTCAAGGTCCTTTAAGGTATGTTTAGAACCAGTGGTGGAAGAAGTTCTCAGATCCTTTGCTTAAATAAAAGTAGCAATACAACAGTGTAAAAATACTGTTACAAGTCCTGCATTTAAATGTTACTTAAGTACTGTATTTTTGTATTGATCTGGTTCTGAAAAGTAACTAAAGTTATAAAATAAATCTAGTGGAGTAAAAAGCACAACATGTGCCTCTAAATTGTTGCAAAGTCAAAGCATGAAGTAGCAAAAAGTGAAAATACTTCAAGTACAGCTACCTCAAAATTGTACCTGAGTAAATGTACATAGTTACTTTCCACCACTGTTTAGAACAGATTTTTTAAAAGTGTGATGAATTTGCAATTAATCGCGAGTTAAATATGGACAATAATGCGATTTTAATCGATTGACAGCACTGTTTATAAGACAGTAAGTTATTAAGTGCATGCCGAAAACCCATATGGCACCGAGGCAGCTTATTGACAAAAAGCTATTTGGCAACTTTTCACACATGTGACTATTTGGTAGCCATTTTGTTCTGATTCAAGTTTCTAACGTCCAAAACTTACCCCATCCATCATTTGATAAAAGTACTGCCAATAGTGCACTTGTCACTTTTCTCTAACATGTTTACTCTAATAACAAGTCGTTCCTTTGTTCTGGACATTATGTATGTGATCATTTAGGGGACAACACATTCCCTGTGAGCCCCGTTCCGAAATGAGAGAATGTGGTAGGTTATAGACACGGAAAGGACGTGATTTTAACCACTGTACTTCTCGCCTGAATCAAACCTGAATACACAGACATGAACCAACACTGACTTGCATATCGACAGACACACTTAATTAAAACCACTGACCAAGGCAGGTAATACTTAAATCAGACCACCTGCACTAGAGAAATAAATCCTCTCCAAATGGAGCTTTATTCTCGGGCAGTTACCTACGCTCGTTTTGTAACAAGGTGGAAGTGAAACACTACAGCTAGTGTCTCTCGGTCATACTGTCCGTCTAACGTTAAATTAACGCAAGCAAGCTGACTCAGTGGATTAGCTAGCTCAAACAGATGACAGCGAACAGTGATAATGTTCACTCTGACCAGCCGTAAAATAGAATTTTCTGATACGTGAAGACCCCCACTATATAGCTAGCCTGGCCAGCATAACATTCCGGTCTCACAATCTTTGACTTTTGCTGGTTTGTTCGGTGCCCTGCTAGCTCCTCTGTCTGTGTTACTAGCTAACTACTTACGCTCAACAACTAATTTAACTAACTGTCATCCTTTTTGTCAAGACAACACCTAAACAAGCGAGTAAAGTCAGACAGAGGACACATATTTAACGACGGTCTATTCCTTACCTCATGCGACAGGGTCAAGATTATATTAACTTCGTTAATTCTTTCTTTTGCTCCCTTTACGTGACAACAACAACACTAAACAGACACTACCAGCAGCCAGGGCCGTTCAAAACATACTGCGCATGCTCTGGCTTCTGAGGACCTTGGGAAATGTAGTCTTAAGACGGACATATTTTGCGGGACGCATCTTCACTGTTTAAAAGAGTGGAAACCACATTAAAAACAAACGTGGTTGTGTGTTTCATAGTTCTCTTATGAGGTTTTTGCAGTGTACAGGCAGTTGGTCTTTCAAAGTAGCAAACATCTGTAAAATGATGTTTGTCTTGTTTAAATATAGTACAATGTTGTTTCACAGTGAAAGACTGTAAAACTTACTCTCACCCCAATTAACTTCATGTCCTCTTTTAGCACATCCATATATCTCCTCTTTGACCTTCCTCTTGACTTCTTGCCTGGCAGCTCCGTCTCCAACATCCTTCTACCAATATAACCACTATCCCTCCTCTGCACATGTCCAAACCATCTCAATCTGGCCTCTCTGACCTTGTCCCCAAAACAACCAACCTGAGCTGTCCCTCTGATGTGCTCATTCCTAATCCTGTCCATCCTGGTCCCGCCTAAAGAGAACCTCAACATCCTCATCTCTGCTACCTCCATCTCTGCCCCTTGTCTTTTCCTCACTGCTACAGTCTCTAACCCATACAGCATAGCTGGTCTCTCTACTGTCTTGTACACCTTTCCTTTGATTCTTCCTGCCACTCTTCTGTCACACAACACTCCTGACACCTTTCTCCACCCACTCCAACCTGCCTGCACTTGCCTCTTCACCTCTTTCCTACACTCCCCATCACACTGGACTGTTGACCCCAAATACTTAAACTCCTGCACCTTCTTGACCTCAGCCCCCTGTAACCTCACTGTTCCACTTCCCTCCCTCTCGTTCATACACATGTATTCTGTCTTACCACGCCTGACTTTCATTCCTCTTTTTTCCAGAGCAGACCTCCACCTTTCCAGGTGTTCCTCCACCTGCTCTCTGCTCTCACTACAGATCACAATGTCATTGATGGAATACAATACTATTGATGGAATCTCTGATCCTGATAAGATAGCTGAGTTTTGGCGGCGTCATTACTGTGAGCTATTTAACTGTATTCCCAGTGAAACTTTTTTTGGTAAGTGGGGTTGACTTTGTTGAATCTTTTAAAACCAATGAAGTTTCCCAAGCAATACGTAATCTGTCTGAAAATAAGGCTACTGGGCTGGACCACATCTCTGTTGAACACCTGAAGTATGCTAGTCTCAGGTTGTCCCCTCTTCTAGCCATTTGCTTCACTGCCTCTGTTATGCACGGGTTTCTGCCTGACTCTATGATGTCAGTACTGTTGGTTCCTATGGTGAAGGATAAAGCAGGGAAGGTGGGCAGCTCCTAGAATTATAGACCTATTGCACTTGCTAATATTCTCTCAAAAGTTGCTGAAGGACTTCTTTTGAATAGGTTTCACAATCTTATTAGCTCTATTGCAAACCAATTTGGGTTTAAAACTAGCCATGGCACTGACATGTGTATATTTGCCCTAAAAGAATTAGTCAGTAAATATAAAAGCAAAAACTCCTCTGTAT